AATAAAAATAAGATTAGCAAACAGGGACAAAACCTGCAAGATAATGTGAATTTTCTTTGGGGGAATGTAAGAGTTCTTGGGTCAATCTGCCTGCTGCTGCACCAGGGCTGAGGGTCGCTGGGTGTGTGTTTATGGCTCTTGGCCAATGCCAACCAGCCTTTAGAGGCAAACTATTTTGTCTTCAATACAGGTTTGTAATAGACTGCCCATCTTTCTTCCATACTGTGGACCAATGCCAGGGTTGAAGGTACAGGGTAGGTGTGTGCTCTGTCCCTGAGCCACACCTCCTCCCCCAGATACTCCCTCTTGGCCATCTCTGAACCCCATGTCCAGAGCACTGCAGGTGCCTCATACATTAAGAGGGACTTTTTTTTTTTATAAGAAATTTTTTTATTTATTTTATTTTTTTGTGGCTATCTCAGCCCACCCTGGGGGCAGGGCTGGCGCAGCATGTGGTGCCAGAGATTGAACCACCATCCCTGCGCGCATGCCTATCAAGCTCAGGCACTTGAGACAACTGAGCTATGTCACTGGCCCCTTAACAGTGACTTCAAAAACAGAGGTCATGGGGCTGGTGAGATGGCTCAGTGGTCTAAAGCACCTACTTAGAACAAGCTTAGCAAAGCACAGGGACTGCGGTTCAATCCCCCAGCACCACATGCCATCCAGCCCTGCCCCCTGGTGGGCTGGGGGGGGGCGGCACACACACACACACACACACACACACACACACACAAACAAATAAATTAAAAAACAAAACAAAACAAAAAAAAAAACCAGAGGTCAGCCAGTTGTTGCTAATTAGGAGCAAGGGTCCTTTGTCAGAGGACTTTCTGATTAAGAAAGACCAGAAATTTGAATTTGGTAGAAGTTTCCAGATTTTTAAGCACTAAAACAGCTAGAGAGAAAAGCTACCAATGGGAGGAGTTTACGAAGGAGCACCAGCAGCAGTGCCTTGTGCCGACTCCGTAGCTCGTGATGCGGACTGATGGGGGCTCTCTGGAATCTGGAAGTGCGGTGCTGCTTTCTAAACCCGGCTGTCTGGGCTGTGCTCACATGCCCCCTCTCTACACCCAGGTATCACCTGGTGACGGAACAAGATCCTACACAAGTGTTAAGTGGAGATGAACGCTGGGCAGAGTCCATGCTGTTCTGCCCTGCAGCCACTGTCCGCAAAGGTGTGCATGCTGCGGCCAGTGCTGCACACCAGCACCCCGAGCGACTCGAGCAGTGACGCAGAAGCCTGGCTTGAGCCAAGGAGAGTGGGGCCAGCCTGGACAGCACCTGGAGACCACATCTCAAAAAACACTCCAAAACCAGGAAGGAATCTGTTTCTGTTATTGGGGGGGAGGGTGCTGGGGAACAATTGTGAAACCTCACACAAGCTAAGCACACACTGAACCCAAGGACTACACATTGAGTCCCAGAAGTTATTTGTTTCCTTACTAAACAAAAATGTAAGAAAACACTGCAAGGGCTGCGGAGATAGCCAGGTAGAATAAGCACTTGCCTGGCAAGTGCAGGGTCCTGAGTTCAATCCCCAGTACCGAGAGAGAGAGAGAGAGAGAGAGAGAGAGAGAGAGAGAGAGAGAACACTGCAACAATCAGATTGGACAAATTCAAGGAAATCAACATTCAATTAAAACAGATGGGGGCTGGGGAGATGGCTCAGTAGGATAAGCGCTTGACTGGCAAACGCAAGGATCTGAGTTCAATCACCGGTTCCACAAAAAAAAAAAAAAAACAGATGCAGGTGGGCCGGGGAGATGGCTCTGTAGAATAAGTGCTTGCCTGGCAAGCACAAGGTCCTAAGTTCAATTCCTGGTATTGCAAAAAATAAATCAATCAATCAAGCAGGCAACCTATAGAGCAAGGATAACAGGTTTAAAAATTAATATACAATGAAACTACTCAGTCAACACAGCACTAAACACTCAAAACTATGCTAATGTAAATACTTGCCAATTTATCAAAGAGGCAAGTGAATAAAAAAAATCTCTCATTTTCTCTAGAAAAGTAGCTGAAATTTGGTTTTATCACATTTTTTTTTTTTAAATTTGGTATAGGATCTCACTACACAGCTCAGACTCACAGTGATACTCCTGCCTTCAGCCTCCCCAGCACTAGGATTACAGGTGTGTGCCACCACGCCCTGTCTTGGTGGCTGGCTCAGCACACCTGGGGGCAGGGCTGGTGCGGCATGTGGGGTGGGGGATAGAACCCTAGTCCCTACACTTGCCTAAGCAGGTGTGTAGTCCACTGAGCTATCTTGCTGGCCCTACATTTGTTTTTGTTGCTATATACCATACACACAGGAAAGAGTGCACACGATACGCAGCTGCTCTGTGCAATACTAGGTTCAATCCTCAGTACCAACAAGAAAAGAAATTCAGACAAAAAAACCCCAAGAAGATGACACTGCTACCTTCTTTAACATAAAAAGCAGAAAATGTTAAAAGAAAATGACAGTTACACAGGCTCACCATGTATGTTCATGCTTCTAAAGCCAACTGTGGCATGACTGACAGAATACTATACAAAAATTACAATGAGGAAAATAAAGATACATACAACAACTCACACTTGTTTTTTATATTTTAGGGAAGAGTCTAAGGGTGTTCAGGGTCTCACTACTAGATCAGATTCGGAGTGATTTGCCTGTTTACAGCCCCCCAAGAGCTGGGATTACAGGTGCACGCCACCACGGCCACTCTTAATTGCTGTCTCAGCGCACCCCAGGGGCAGGCTAGGCACAGCAGGCCTGGGGATCAAACCCCTGGCACCTGCATCTGCTTGCAGGCACTTTAATCCGCTGAACTATTTGGCTGGCCCAGTAACTCACACTTTAAAATACAGTCCTAGCAGCTGAAAAACATTTGCAAACAATAAAGAAGATACACTGATCAGAACAAGGATAAGAACCCCGTAAGAGCCCATAAACCTTACTTCTTAATAACAAAACGAATCCTTTCCTTTGCAAGCAATATTCTCTCAAGGCGAGGAATTCCATACGTGGACGGCCTTCTAAAAGGAATTCCTTCTGGAAGTCCTTCAACATAAAGATCTTCCACATGAGACTGGAAAAGAGGGTATGGGATCGTCACCGGACCTTTGGCTTTTATAGCTTGAGCTTTAAAGATAAAAAGAGAAAGGGATTACCATTAAAGACAAACCTGAAGCACATCTGCAGAAAAGAACAATAGCTGGGTATGTATTGCTCTTTCATCTCTACTCCTAACTTTCGAATTGATATAGAAGAAACAATCATACACAACAGCAGGACAACACAGTTCTGTTTACCTAAACCTGCATGAAATAATCCACTAATCTAAAGCAGCGTAGAAGAAAGACAGATACTAGTAGAATCTGAAATCATCATCAAGTAGGAAAAACATACCACTTAATACATATTATATACAAAATGCAAGAGTAATATTTGAAAAATATAAACATTACTGTAATCTTTATTGGATTTCTCAAAGGACTTATCTTAAAAAAAGGGAAAGATTTTCTTGGCTGACAAAATTTCAACTAATATTATTTACCCAATAGTAATATAATCCAACAGGCATAAAATGACCCAGCCTAGAAAGTATAAACAATCTAAAATACTGAGTGCGTGGCTGGACATGGTGGCAACAATCATAATCTCAGTGTTCAGGAGGCTGAGGCAGGAGAGTCTCAAGGGTTTTTCTTGTTTGTCTGTTTGTTTTTGTGGAACTGGGGATTGAACTTAGGCCTTTGTGTTTGCCAGGTAAGCGCTTATTCTACTGAGCTATCTCCCCAGCCCCTTTTCCACAAGTTTGAGGCTAGCCTGAACTGCATAGCAAAACCCTCTCAAAAAATTGAACATGCTGCCCCCACCGCAAAAAAACGCAAAGGGTTTTTTGTTGGTATTTCACGTAAAATCCACTTGCTAAATATTAATACACTACTTGTGTTGTTTCAAGTGTACACCACTACATGTTAATGTAGATTTTAAAAGCTTCTTTTCCTGATACCAAATCTAGTATTAGTTCAACAACATAATAGAAATATCTTCCCCTGAGGAAAGTACCATTAAAGTTGCTTTGGAATTACAAAACATGAAAATTGTTATTATAACCTCACAAAAACTAATAAACATTTTTAGCTGTAAATCTAATTATACTCACAACAAAAGCCACACAACATACTTTTGAAAAGCACAAATTTATAAAACTGGTTATACTAAACTATTTTTAACCTCATACTACTAACTTTAATATAATAAATATAAACAGTAAGCATGTATTATGTATTTGCAAGCCACAAGTTATATGAAGTACTTATCATCAAATCTTCAGATGACCATTTCATCAAAGAAAGCTCAGAAATGCTGAGAGTCCAGCTCAGTGGTGCCACCTCTCACTCTCGCTCTCATTCTTACTCGCTCTCGCTCTCGCTCTCGCTCTCTCTCTCTCTCACACACACACACACACACACACACACACCCCTCAGAGGAAGGACCTGGCCATTTGGTCCCAGTGATCTTTTTCTTATTTTTATTTGTGGACTTTTTGAGACAGACTCCTGCTACAGGGAGGCTAGCTTTGAACTCATTATGTAGCCCTGGCTGATCTCAGAAGTTTTTCATCCATTTGGCTCAGCCTCACATGCAGATTATTGGGTGTGTGTCCAGCTCAGCCTGTGGTCTTTTCAATGTTACAGTGCTGTCATTTGTCATGGCATATTATGTGGATTTTTCCTTTGAAACAGAAGCCAGTGTCAGGCTATAATCCCAGTCAAGAATTTAAGGCCAGCCTGGGCTACACTGTGAGTCCCTGTCTCAAAAACAACCAAAAGGCCGGGGAAATGGCTCAGTGGAATAAGCGCTTCCCTGGCAAGCACAAGGGCCTCAATTCAATCCCCGGTTCTGCAAAAAAAGAAAAAAGAAAAAACAAAAAACAAAACCGAGACTGGGCGTGGTGGCACACGCCTATAATTCCACCACTTGGGAGGCTGTAAACTGGAGGATCACTACGAGTCTGATGTACACAGTGAGACCCTGTAGACCCTGTCCTAAATACAAAAAAAAAAAAAAAAAACAAAACAACACAAAACCAACCGAAAGCACAGGCAAAGCCAGGAGTGGTGGCATATGCCAGTAATCCCAGTACCCAGAGGTACTAAATTTTCTCTAATTGAAGCAGGAGGACTGCCTTATTAAGTTTAAGGCCAGCCTGGGGTACATAATGAGTTAGAGTCCAGTCTAAATTATATAGTGAGACTGTCTCAAAAAGACTACACCAGCTGGGAAGATAGCTCAGCAGTGTAAGCGCCTGCCTGGCAAGAGAAAGGTCCAGAGTTCCATCTCCACTCCTCCCCTACCCCCTCACAAAAAAAAAGACTGAAGGGGGCAACAGGGGATAGGGAGATATAGACAACAGGCCAAAAAAAAGTAAACTCAGGGCCAGGGAGATAGCTCAGTAGAATAAGTGCTTGCCTGGCAAGCGCAGGGTCCTGAGTTCAATACCCAGTACCGCCAAAAAAAAAAAAAAAGTAAACTTATGAAAAGAGAAGCATTAACAGAACCTTAAGGAAAGAACTGAAAATATAAAACAGTGAGTAAATTTTTCTGTAATTACAGAGTCTCAATGGGAGATAAAGTTGTCACATATGGTAATGAAACAATGGTACATGAAAAGCTGCTAGTCTGTAGAACTAATAATACACACTGAAAGGAAGGAGGGAGGGAAGACGAACAGTCAAGGAAGGGGTTAGATGTGGCTCCGACTAGAGCAGGGGTAGAGAGTACACTGCATGTTTCTGTCATCACTGAAAGCTCTAACCCACCCACCCACTGCGGGCCTACAGCGCTGCCAGGCACAAAGCACCCAGCCAGCTGACCTCGAGTAAACAATGCCACTCAGCTTATCAGGTCGAAACTTCTATAGGATAGCACTTCATAATTATATTACAAAGTTCTATGTACTGAGCCAGGAGCAGTGGCCCCACTATTCTAGAGACTGAGACAGGAGGATTCCTGAACAGAGGAGTTCAAGGTCAGCCTGCCAGCACAAGAGCTCCGTCTTCAAAAGCTGTGCAGTACAGACTGCCATTCAACTGCAAAGACTCAGCTAGACAAAGAAAGTAAAACAGAAGATTCTTAAATGACTTGGTATTTTTAGGTGAGCGTTTGATATATACTATTGATATAATAAGCTAAATATTTCATTATTGTGAAGGCAGCTGTAGGACAGAATGGAAAAATAAAAGGGTAAAGAATTTTAAATTTAACTTAAACTCAGTTGTATAGGCATCTCAATAAATAATGGATTTCATACACCAGATTAAGAGACTACTTAAAATAATTAAATGAATCTCCCAAATTCAAGATATGCAGTAAGTATTACACCTCAAAATGCTCATTTGCCTTCCTACAAGGACTTGTAATTCTCCATTGCCTAAATGTCTATGAACAAAAGAATTTCAGATTCTCCAGCTTAAACATACCGTATTTCCTTTCAAACAACTCTTCAACTTGTTTACGGAGATCAGTAATTCGAGCATTCCATTTTTCTGCAAATTGAGAGAAAATTTCCTTCTCAGTAAAGAAATCCCAGTGTGGGGCAGTAACACACTTTAGCAGCCCCACTTCTAATGAGCTTTGTCTCCGGAGATCTCTAAATCTTATCAGCTGGTTTTAGTCCATACAACTTAACTGCTTTCTGAAATGCTTTTTCCTTTTTAAGGGTTAGAGCTGTTTCCATGGGAGGTTCTGTGATGTTTTAAGGTTTATATTCAAATCACTTCACACCAAGTATCTCTTTTTAATCTTTTAATTTCCCTAAAGCAAGGTGGTAAAGAAGACTGTCAGGACCAGCCAGATAGTTCAGCAGACTAAAACTCCTCCTTAGGCAGAGCGTGGGGGCCAGGGTTCGATCCCTGGCATGTCATGCCAGCCCCATCCCTGGGGTGTGCAAAGATGGTGATTGAGACTGGGCGTAGTGGCGCCGTCTATAATCCCAGCGCTTGGGAAGCTGAAAACAGGAGGATCACTACAAGTCCGATCTACGTAGTGAGACTGTGTACTAAATACATTAAAAAAAACAACAACAACATAAAAATAATTTTTTAAAAAAAAGAAGATCTCTAAGTTTAAGATCTGCCTGGGCAACTTATGAGAATGCATTTTTTTTTAAAAAAAGGGCTTGGGGGCCAGCAAGACAGCTCAGTGGACTAAGCGTCTGCCTGGCAAGCACAGGGACTGGGGTTTGATCTTAGACACCACATGCCACGCTGGCCCCATCCCTAGGTGCCATAAGTAGGCCACCAAGACTGGGTATGGTGGCACACACCTGTAATCCCAGCACTGAGGAGGCTGAAAACAGGAGGATCACTATGAGTCCGGGCTGCATAGCGAGACCCTGTACCAAA